AATTGATGAGGAAATCATGAAAACTATTTGACAATTATGAGAATCGTGACAAGATTGAATTGATTGTGTGTGATTGTAATAAATAATAGTGGGAGGATAGCTTTGGGATTGTACCTCCCAAAGTGATGAACACAACCTTTGGGCTTTATGCCTTTGATATGTATTTGATCTCACAATGATGTTTTCGTTCTTTCCAAAGTGGTATCTGGCAACAGGGTTTCCCGGGGTACTAGTAGCAACTTTGGAAAGAGGTGTGCACACTAGGATTTGATATTTTGATATGGCCAGTTTTGATTATACGTGGCTGGCAACAGGGTTTCCCAGGTCACAGGGTAGACTGGCAACAGGGTTTCCCAGGTCTACCATGGTTCTCTTCCCACTAAATGGATTAAATAAAGATTAATATAATTAATAACAAGTTGATATTGATTTGAATTTTTGAGTTATATTATTTTATTGGATTATTATGAGTTATTTGTTTATTTATTTATTTATTTTTGTATATCGCATTTGGATTACCAGCTTTGCTGACTGTTTGTGAATTGTTTGACTGCAATGATCCTGCGGTTGCGGGGGAGCAGATTTTCAATAAATCAGGTAGCAAGGAATCGGGCTAGCAGTGGGCAATGAGGATAACTACTCAGAGATTTTTGCTAATCCTGAATTTTATGTATAAGATATATCTTTGATTTTATTGTAATATTTATGAATGTAATAAAGAGCCTTGCACTTGTCCCTGTACAGGTGCGGCGGTAACATTTCGCCAAATTAGTTTTAGATTAGCTTCTGCAATAGATATAAGATCTTAATAAATAGTTAAATGTCATTTTTTTAAAAATTTCTCTGTTATAGGAATATTTTATTGTTGTTAAAATTGTTTGAAATTTGGGGATGTTACAAAATGGTATCAGAGCCCCTGGTTCGGCTTGGGGTTTGCTTTTGATACTGACTCGAGGGATCAAAGATTCATGAGTTAAATAAATACAAAAAAAAATAAAAATAAAAATAAAATTGGGAAATAAAATAATACGACATAAGATAAATAAATAAATCGAGAGAGGTGGGTAGTGAAGGGTTATTTTTATTGTCCTCTAAAAATGATTTATTTTTTTGAAATTTTGATGATTATATGTTTGGAATTATTTTGTGATTTAAAATTATTATTGATATTATTCTTTAATTTTTTTATACGCTATCTTTAGTAACTCGTTCTTATTTTAATAAAAGTAATTAGCTTTCTTTTATAATTATTCTTGAATTGATTAAAATTTTTTCTAGCAAATGAAAGATAATATATGCAATAAACATTTCTATTTGTTTAAAGAAGATATTCAGTTTCAAAACTTTTTCTTTTAACTTAGTTAAAGTTAACAACTCATTAATTTGTAGTGTTTTAAATTTATTATATTCTATGTTGTCTTGTTTGCTTGGTTATGCATGACTCTTTGTTGTTTGCTTTTTTTTTTTTAAAGGGATTTCAAAAAAATATATATATAAGTTTCGAGGACGAAACTTCTTTTAAGGAGGGTAGAATGTAATACCCCATATTTTTATTAACTTTAACCTTATGCCTTTTAGTTAATTTGAGGAGCTCAAACTTTTAAGTTTCGAGGACGAAACTTCTTTTAAGGAGGGTAGAATATAATACCCCATATTTTTATTAATAAAATATTAATAATAATAATATTATAATAATAATAAACTATAAATTAGTAGTAATAATATATATATATATATAAATTTTATGGTGATAGATAACAAAGTATAATATTAATTTTACCATTGATAAAATTATTTTGTGCGATATATGTGCTATTGGAAAATAATTTTGATACTTTGTAATAAAATAATATTAATATATATGTATATATATATATATATATATATATATATATATATATATATATATATATATATATATATATATATATATATATATAGATATTAGATGATAAATTACGATTAATGAATTTATTAATTGATTGATAATTTATGTATTAATGTTTGATTGGTAATGTTTGATTAGTAATTTGATTAGATATGATGAGTCAATCATGAGTCAGCCTTGAGTTAGCAAATAAGTTAGTTATATTCTCAGAAATTAAGAATAAAAAGAAAATGATGTATGAAGCCAATATCTGAGTCAGATACATCAATAAAGAAAAAGGAAATAAATGCACGAAACCCATATCTGAGCCCAAATAGAGGCCTAGCCTAACCAACCAATTCACTCTTCAACATTTCTCCTCTACTACTCTCTCTCTTCTCACTCCAAAAAGTTTATTTTAATTATTTTCAATTTGTATATTTTTCTGATTATCAACTGGTTTTCTGCCCCAAATTATTCCCTTTAGAAGTTAGCGAAAACAGAGACCAGGTAATCCTAATCTCTAGATGCTCTTAGGTCACTTTTATATGAAATTGGGTGTAATACTTATATGTAATCCTAATCCTTAGAGAGTTATAGGTTATATGAAATTTGGTAATGTAATCCTAGTCCCTTAGAAATATGTTAATTATATAAATATTATTGAGAACATCGTTGGATTTAATTTTTAGGTTAATTATATTTTAATTACGTGAAAATTATGATAATTAATTTGTAAATTGTACTCTTGGGTATTTGATTTAGAATTATACTCTTGAATATTTGAAATTATAATTATAATATTCCTAGATTTGGAAATTATGATATTCTTGAAAATTTGAATTTGGAAATTATACTATTGATTAAATTGATGTGGAAATCATGAAAACTATTTGACAATTATGAGAATCGTGACAAGATTGAATTGATTGTGTGTGATTGTAATAAACAATAGTGGGAGGATAGCTTTGGGATGTTATCTCCCGAAGTGATGAACACAACCTTTGGGCTTTATGCCTTTGATATGTATTTGATCTCACAATAATGTTTTCGCTCTTTCCAAAGTGGTATCTGGCAACAGGCTTTCCCGAGATACTAGTAGCAACTTTGGGAAGAGGTGTGCACACTAGGATTTGATATTTTGATATGGCCAATTTTGATTATACGTGGTTGGCAACAGGTTTTCCCGGGTCACGGGGTAGACTGGCAACAGGGTTTTTCGGGTCTACCATGGTTCTCTTCCCACTAAATGGATTAAATAAAGATTAATATAATTAATAACAAGTAGATATTGATTTGAATTTTTGAGTTATATTATTTTATTGGATTATTATGAGTTATTTGTTTATTTATTTATTTATTTTTGTATATCGGATTTGGATTACCAGCTTTGCTGACTGTTTGTGAATTGTTTGACTGCAATGATCCTCCGGTTGTGGGGGAGCAGATTTTCAGTAAATCAGGTAGCAAGGAATCGGGCTAGCAGTGGGTAGTGAGGATAACTACTCAGAGATTTTTGTTAATCCTAAATTTTATGTATAAGACATATCTTTGATTTTATTGTAATATTTATGAATGTAATAAAGAGCCTTGCATTTGTCCCTGTACAGGTGCGGCAGTAACATTTCCCCAAATTAGTTTTAGATTAGCTTTCGCAATAGATATAAGATCTTAATAAATAGTTAAATGTTATTTTTTTTTTAAATTTCTCTGTTATAGGAATATTTTATTGTTGTTAGAAATTTGGGGTTGTTACAACTTCATAAATTACTAACCTTAAATGTAGAGAGAGAAACACAATGAGAGAGAAAAGGAAAATGAGAAAGAGAGAGTGAGAGGGAGAGACGAGTTGGGTGGGGGGAAGGGGGGTTATATAGGCTGCTGAAAGGAGTCGTTGCACCAAGTTCGCTGCCCACCTCAGCGAACTTGGTGCATGTCTGCCATGTGTTATGCCAGCCATTACACGTAGTTCGTTGGAGTGGGCAGCGAACTTCGTTGCATGTCTGCCACGTGGCTTGGCAGGTGGGAACATGCAGGGGCATTAATTGAACCAAGTTTTCTACCTGGAGTAGCGAACTTGGTGTCCACCAGGATCGTGACACATCAGCAAACTGAGTTCGCTACAATGCCCAGCGAACTTGCCCACGTGGCATATTGAGAAATAACACTGTTGGCGTGACATTTAGGTAAAAATGATGGGGAACAATGGCATTTTGGTCACTATATATTCCTAAAATATGGCACCAAATCATCAAATATAAGCCCAAAAGTAACTCTTTATAGGAGAGTTACCATCACGCAATGATCAGCCTCCGTATTCATGAACTTGTGCTCAGTCATGAAGGATTCAAACTTCTCTTATCATTATCGAGGTGCTTGCTTTAAACCGAAAATACTCTTCTTCAATTGGAAGACCAAGTCTTCTTTAATTACCAGGAGCTCGTAACCCTTGAAGTTGCTCGATATATATTTCTTCTTCAAGTTCATCGTGAAGGAATACTGTCTTCACATCCATTTGTACAATTTTCATATCCATTTTTCAAGTACAGTTCGGACTGAAGTCATTTTTACTACAAGAGATAATATTTCTTTAAAATCAGCTGGTTTCGAGCCACACCATATATTTTCTTTTTGTCATGCAACAAATCATTTTCTATATTTGTACTTTATTTTTTTTTCAATCAAAAGGTAAAAGTGTTGTACTAGGCTTATATATATAAATTGAAAATTTTATCATACATAAATCGTACCTATAAAATTTTAAATTGTTCTAAAATTATTTAATACTTTATCAATATATGTTTTTAAAATATAAAAAAATAAAAAATCATTTGATTATATATATATATATATATATATATATATATATAGAGAGAGAGAGAGAGAGAGAGAGAGAGAGAGTTGAGCATGTTAAATTTTAAATGCACTCATGCTCTAGAATTTAATTATTAGAGTGCACTCATGTTTTTAAGTTTCTAAAGAAAAATAGCATGACTTATAAATTTAGACTTAGTTCCCTACCTCAAAACACTCTCGATAATGAGAGAAATCCTTGCTACGTAAGTTATTCCAATATCTATAACTATTCGAACACAAATCATAATGTTGTCTTCTTGCTTTGATACACATATAGATGGCCACCACCAATGATGAGCCTCCATTGTCAGAAGCTATAGAGCCAGCACAATCACCACCCATCTATAATGCCAAATGCGAGTGCTGTGAAATGTGTGAGGAGTGCACTGAAGAGTACCTCAATAGTGTGCGTGACATGTTCTTTGGGAAGTTAATCTGCGGGTTGTGTGCTGCAGCTGTGAATGAAGAAATGAAGAAGAATGGTGGAAAGCGAAAGGAAGCTTTGGAAGAGCATATGAAGGATTGTGTGAAATTCAATAGGCTAGGTAGGTCATATTCTGCTTTGTATCATGCTGAAGCTGTTAAAGAGATCTTAAAGAAGACTTCAAGAAATTAAGAAGGCTTGGATTGCTAGTAGCTCAAGTTGTATTAATTAATTCCTGCAATCACCAAGATGCAGGTCGATGAAAAAATGTAGAGTCTTTGATTATTTGTGATCTATAAGAACTTATATGTATTATGTTTCTGTTTTCACACATTATTATTATTATTATTATAAACTTATTTGCAAAACTAGAAAGAGATATAGTGTATATTTATGAAGAAGTATATTTCTTTTATTTTAAAAAATTAATGTTCTAGTATAGCCCTTTAAAGTTTTATTCACAGCAAGAACGCATATTATTACAGTACGAGTGTACGACCAGACATATAATACTTTTCTATTCAATTGAACTAGATTCATATTGAGGCGATGTACGTAATTATTTGAAAAATTAAAATTAAACATTTTTTAACTCTGTAATAAAATATAAACAATTTACTTTTTTAATATTTTATTTTGCGTGACATATGGTACAAGAAAATCATAACATATGCTCGAATTTTAAATTTTAATAGGGTATCATTAGTGTCGCAAATTAATAGGGTATCATTGTGGCTGGTGATACTTACATAAAAAAAAAGAACAGAGAATTCATGGCTGGTGAGTGAGGAGCGAAGAAGGATAAATCAATCGATGACCCAACAACATTTGTTTCAAAAAGGTAGAAGTCATCACAGGTTGCGACAAATACAAAGAAAAAAAAAAACACATGAAGCCATTGGGGAGAAAAAAATACTTAGTGAACCACAACCACACCTCTGTACAGAAGAAGTGAAGAAGAGAAGAGTGAGGAAGAAAACCACGACATGGAAGAGAAATTAGGAATTTCGGGTTTAAATAGAAACGAGGGTTATTTGGCTTAGGGTAAAAAATAACCCTATCACATTGGGGCTGAAAAAAACAAGATTGAAAATTGGAGTTGAAAGGTTGACCCATAATCTCTAACCCATTTTGACAGCTTTAATCCACAACATATCATCCTCATACTAGGGAAAAAAGTTAAAATAGACACCCATTTTCTAAGAGTAAAGCGAATGTCTAAAATGAAGAAAAGTAATTTCTATATCCCATACATCTTTTCAGAGGCATTATATTCCTTATCACTAACCCTTTTAACTTAGCTTAATTATCGAGTCAGTTAATTCAATGAACATGTTCTCTTTTATTATTTAAGTTGATAATTTTTATTTGTATTTACTATTCTTCTTTTTTTCTTTTTCAATCTGTCAAAAACAAATAAAGAAAAATAAATAGAATTGAGAAAACTGCATTTGTTTTGCACAATTGACACTAAGTAATCGTCTCATGATATTCATCATGATGCTATTAGGATTAAGTAACCACTAAACTTTGAGTATAATAAAACTCCTGTAAAATCAACTTCAAATTTTTTAAAATTTCCCTCTCTAAAAAATATAGATATAGCCATTTTTTTCTTTTTTGGCTACAGGGTGCTAAAATTGTGTTCCTTTTTTTTTTGTTGCTCCAATTCACTTTGTAATCACCTTCCAATATTGAAAAAGTATATACAATAATTTTAAAGTCGTAGTCACTAATTAAGTTGCATTTACATTCCTCGAACTGGTATACGTGTTGATTGGAAGTGCACTTAGGAGGACTGCGGAGCCTGGAATAGTTCTTGCCACTTCTGAGAATCATTTCCAGGACCTTCCCCCTAAAACATATGCATTTTAGCATCAACAATTTGCATAAACATAATAAGGAATTTATATATATATATATATATATACACACACAAACAAATCGTGTAAATATCCTGCAGTATTGATTTCCGATAAATATTAAACACAAACTTAACAATAATAAATAATTAAGAATTTTAAATTATTTGATGCTCTAGTCTCTTCAATATTTTTGTATGAGAAATAGTGCTACTTAAATTTTAAGCAATTAAAAGTAACTACATTAGGTGAAGTGTGACAAAATATTTATGCATCAAAAGCACAGCAAAGGAATATAAAAATTGCACACACAAAATTTCTTATTACAAGCCTTTGAATATCATCTGGCCAAACTAACTGCATTACTTATGCACTTAACGGTCATTAAATTACAACTTTATATATCATATCATAAAAATGTTGCATTATGTCATTAATTGAAACCCATTCTATAAATAGCTATTGGATATATAAATTACTAAATGTTACCTTTGCTGCTATTTTTAAAAAAAAAAATAGGGTACTGCCACAAAAAGAAAAGATTTTAGGTGACAATTTTCATTGTTTAATATCTATCTTATCAGTTCTTTTCCGCTATCTTCATAAGACATAACATTCAAAAACATGGAGGAGATTCTATCATGCATTTTTAATCTCATACATTTGACACATCCATGCATCATTGAATATACTCAATACCAAAATTACCATGAAAGTTTACCTCAACAGAGTTAACTTCATATACTTGGTTTTCAGTGACTTCTAAATCTAGTGCCTGTATGCAAGCTTCAGCAACCACAATTCTGCTGGCCTCTCCCACTAGTTTATCTCCTGAAAGCACGTTGCCAAATTTCAAAAACTTCAAACAAAAGTACTTGCAAAAAGTATAAATGAATCATACAAAATCATCTACTATGCTAAGGGAAGACACAAATAAGGTAAATTAACTTTCTAAATCTATATCATGTAGAGACATAACAAAATCATCCAAAAGAAAACCATATTCACCTAAGCATTTCATGCAAAGATTTAACAATTATTTTGCTGTTTTTTGGTGGGAAAGGAGTTGGGGGGGAACTCTATAAACTGCCCATATAATTAATGGGCACAGACACTTCCAACAATCACAATTGACATGTTTCATGGTAAGTAAACATATTGAGGCTGTGCATCTTTTTGTTTGTGAAAAACTTCAACTGACACATATTTTCACATGTCATGTGAAGATTGAAGAGCAGCTAGCTGACACATTCACTAAAGCCGTCATTGTAATTTGGTTAATTATATTTATAGTAGGCTCGGCATGATTAATATCTCTACACCAGGTTGATGGGAAGTGTTAGAACATAATAAATATGCTTAGACTTACTTTGTTATTGGCTGTGCTTGTGTATTACACACAACTAGTACTACAACCAAATCATTGTATGTAAATCCACACACAGGACAACTAACACTGTGTGCTTAGTGCATTCCTCATAAGGATTAACACCCCATCCACTTCTATTTTTGCACCACCAGGTAATCCTTCTACTTGTCTCTTTCTGGTGCCACAGATCAGTTACTAGTAACACATCTTTGCACAACCAAGTTTTCTTTACACATTCCAGCTTCCATTACTTCAGCGTACTTGATCTACTTCTCAGGTTATTTATTGGGAGAGTGCTGCATCTTGTCCAGCCACATCACTTCTGCTATCTTTTTATTTCATGCTTGCCAAACTGATAGAAAACCCAGAAATATAACAGTAATTTTATGGAATAGCTCTCTGTAAATGATCACTGACACCGATATCAGGAGGATATCAGTTCAAGAATACAACTATAGAGATACTGCAGAACTTTAAGGGTCTGCTTCCTCCCTGCCCTAAGGCCCTACTTTCCTCACTCAATGAGTGGATATCCGTTTACAATTATGCAAGGGTAAAACTGCGTATAAGGATTGTCTCCACCTATACTCGCTAGTCGGGTTAAACGGGGAGTGGTTTTTAATGAGTGGATATCCCTCTCTCTTCCCTCCTATCTTCTTCTCACATTCCAACTACCCCATTCTGCCATCTGTCACCACCTGCCACATAAGCAAGATTTTACATCTGCATTGAGTTCTGTTTCACATTTGGAGTTAAGTTTGTCTCAGTTTACTAACCAACAATTTGTTGTAGTTGCACCAGCAGCACTTGATCCGCCATTAGCTTCACCACCTTTGTTTCCTGCTCTTAGCTCTCTACACCAAATTCTAGTCTTGATACCCTAATTTCTTATCAGAGGTAAACAATCTTGCATCTACCTAGCTTCTTCCTTTGTCATATGATGACTAATCTCCTTTTTCTCAATGACAAATTGCTTTCTCAGACTCTATTATGGTTCCAAAGTTTGTCTCTGAGGCTCTGGATAGAGATATAAGACCTGACATCTAATTTTGTTATAAGAACACATACATGCCATAGCTTGTAAGTGGGTCTTTGCAATCAAAATGAATCATATAGTTGAGTTGCTAGATTTTTTGACTTAAGACTGATTGCCAAGCGTAACTCAACTACTGTGTTAACTGTTTTGATACCATGTTTTAAGTGTAAGGGAGAGATGAGAATATAAGAATCTATAACCCCAACACACACAAGTGCAAGGGTTACAGAATTATGACAAACTGACAATCATACCCTCATACAAATACTATTAACAGTAAGGATCTAAGCCGGCAAACACACCTAAGAATTTAACACCTAACTCCCAGCAATTCAATCAGAATTGTTGTTAGAACTAGGGCAGTAAATGTAGGTTGATAGGTAAGTTAAACAGCTGACCTATTATAACAGTTAAAACACAAAAATATGATATGCCACCAGCTTGGGAGCCATTCTTTAGACTCGCACCACAGCAGTCACAGGTCTTAATAGATACCTTAACAGTGCACCTGGTACACGACTTCCGTACCAAGACCCTCAAACAGTTATATGTCTAGTTAAGAGTAATGCAATGGTGACCAGATCAGGCTCCTCCTTCATTTGGTAGTGTTGGTGGGAACCTTATTTCTAGGAAAAAGACATGGTGACCACATCTAGTGCAGAGTTATAGTATCTATGACCCACACCACTAGTTAGTTAGTTTAGATCATCCTTATGATGAAGAAATTTGGGTTTTGAATAAACAGCCAATGGATTTGTCTCATGATAAAATCTATAGAACATATCGGAGTATTGCATGTCAACAAAGAAAATCAGCTTGCAGGTTTTTTCATCAAAGCCTTAAGTGGTGCACTGGTTCATTTCATCAGTAACATGCTAGAAGCATGTTAAATGTACACTCCAGTATGAGGGGTTTGGATCTATTAAAATTTCTAGCTCACTTTAAGTAAAGGGTGTAACAATCCTCATGTCTTCACTCAATAATACTGTGTGCCTTTGCTATTTATATGCCTTTGTTTACATATTTCTCACTCTCTCTCTCTCTCTCTCATTCATAATTTAGGGTCAGCAGGTCCGAATATTGCCTTTCTTATGCAAGTCTGAATTCTGCAATAAATTGCTATATGAGTTTCATTATTTTAAGCCTAGTCAAAACCATTCAGCCCAGTACCTACCAATTTTTTTGTTCTATATGTCCAAATACAAATGTGTTAGCTTGATTTGACAGGTGAATAAGTTGGAGCATATTGAGATGAGTTCTCAGTGAACTGAACCAAGCTCAATGTTTTAAGACTAGCTTGCTTATTCTATGCAATATTTTACCAAGATAGTCCATTTGTTGCTTCTTGGTTTCTGTAAAGAACCAATTCAACCAAAAGCTTAAGCTGTTGGGTGAAGTTACATTAATGATTTTATATATCTCAACACGCCCCCTCACACAAGATTGGTTCTTTACATGGTATCAGAGCCTCGTGTCTCGGGTTCGATCCTCGCCGCCCCCCACTTTCTTTCAAGTGGAATTTCTTTGTTCGCACAGGTAGGTGGGCCTGTGCATTGTCCACCCTTCAAGCCCAGTGGGCTCTCGTGTGAGGGGGCGTGTTGAGATATATAGTCCCACATTGGTTGTATGAGCAACTAATGTGGAGTTTATAAGGCCTTGGACACTCCCACCCTTTGAGCTAGCTTTTGGGGTGGTGTATCCCAAGGTTTTTTACATGGTATCAGAGCCTCGTATCCCGGGTTCGATCCTCACCACCCTCCACTTTCTCTTGTGGAATTTCTTAGCACAGGGAGGCAAGGCCTGTTGCATCATCCACTCTTCAAGCCCAATGGGCTCTTGTGTGAGGGGGCGTGTTGAGATATATAGTCCCACATTGGTTGTATGAGCAACTAATGTGGAGTTTATAAGGCCTTGGGCACTCCCACCCTTTGAGCTAGCTTTTGGGGTAGTGTATCTCAAGGTTCTTTAGAGTCTCAATAAGTTTACTATATGGATGTTTTCCTTCTAATTCAATCCCTGTGGAAGTGTGGATTCATATTCATGTTTTTCCAAATAAATGAGTAAAATGATATATTAACATCAGCAAAAATGGTAGCAAAATTTCATTTTGAGGCACCATTGAGCAAATCAAATGTATGAACTAAGATATTTAATTTCCAAAATATTATTTTTATTATAAAACCATTGCCATTTTTTAGTCCATGTGACAAGAATTTTATTTATTTATTTATTTTTTTGTAGCTACATTGCTAGGAAATTACATCATTGGTTTGCTAGACTATATTCACACATACAGCTTATATATCATGATAATATACTTGCCTAGGAAATGAACAACGAAAAGACAAAACCAATGCATGTTGTGCCATAGCTATAATAAGGAGTATCATTCATATACCTTGACCTACAAGGACTGCTCGTCGTTGTCCAGCTGTTGCTTTGAGCAAAGTATTGAGATCATAAGAAGTGTATGGTCCGTCAGTCAACCTTCCTGGTCTAAAATGCATTTAAACATACTATATGAGGAGACTTTGAGAATTTAAGACGCGCAGTCCTCCACCTCTTTGTTTGTCAAGTATCAACATCAAGTATGAAACATGCAAAATTTTAATCTTACCTGATTATGGTAAATGGAAGACCAGAACTCCGAAGAAAATCCTCTCCCATCTTTTTATACTTAAGGACACCAAATAGGTTCATAATGCTGCGCGAAAAAAGAACAAGAGACAATTTCAGAGAAGTCCTTTTACCAACAAAATTAACACTATTTATGATATGGAATAATTCATATCATATATCACCAGGAATTTTTTGCTATTTCCTTGTCACTAAATTTGTGGCACAATACATAGATCACCCATTTAGCCTACACTTGTGCACATGAGAGCTAGTATGCAATTTTCTAAGCGCAATTTTTTTGAATTATTAATAGCTTCCAATTATTTAAGCATTCTAACCAGATTGTAGCAAATTTTCTATCATCTTTAAAAAAATTTGAATTTTAAATAGTTGTTCACACTTCTTGCAGCAACCCAGCAATATCCCTCCCTATGTCATCTTCACTCAATATTTGAGCTTCAATGCCAGCTTTTATGTCTAAATTGACAGTAAGTTCCCAATGGAATATGCCATCTATATTGCATGGTTAAAGTAGGTACATTACACAAAATGTTTTAAAAATAAATCTATAAACACTTAAAAATTAATATGAACACAACACATAACAAATTTGCATCCTAAAAAGTACCCAAGTTTAAGCGAATTTAAGTGTTTTAGAGCATTTCAAACAATATAGTTTTATTTGTTTTTCTCTAGGAGGAGGATATCATACACTCTGCACCTTGCTTCTTTATTTATCTTGCTGAATGAACTTATTTACCAAAAATCAAAATAAAAATGTATTTTATCGTAGTTAAAGGCATTATAAAGATCGTGAATTGATATTTACAATGAAGATGTGTTGAGCATAATAATTATTAGTGACATCTCACAGTTTGGACTCTTACTAACAGCATAAGACCCTTATATTTGTCTGGAAAGGAGGCTGCTACAAAAGGATGTATATGAGCGTGATGCAGACAGAGAATTTTGGGTGATCATTTTTTTTTTTTTTCAAAATATACAACAACAAAAAGCAAGCCTTATCCACTGGGTGGGGGCTACATGTATTAATCAATGCAATTTGGCTCTATCAAAAAATAAATATTCACCAATGAGGGGGGTTGGCTCAATTGGTAATTCGGAACAATGTCAACAAATACATCTTGGTTTCAAGTCTTTCTAGTGGTCCTTCATTGGTAAGTCATCTATAAGTACCAATATAAGCCCTTGCTAAGGCTTGTGGCATATCCTAACATCGGAAAAGAGCAACCTCCTCAAAACTTTTATCATCCTGTATTCCATATGATACACTTTTCCATTGGAGCCTTTACAGGTTTTCTTCTTCTTACAAGAACAAAGCACCTTAAGTGAGTTTCAGCAGTCATTTCCACAGCATCTCCAACATAGGAGAAGAGCCAGCATGACCTGATGTACGACAAGGAAATTATGTTTACACTTGATTTGTGGGGGGCGGGTGAGAATGGAGACAACTTAAGCATGTCAGCCATCACACTTTGTGATGTGGCCATATGTTTGTACACTTGACTTGCTACAGGGATCCCATACAACGGTATAGCTTGATTTCTAAATGGCTGTCTTCAATCAAAATCTACACAGCACAACAATGGGGATTGCATATATGATGTGGGATGAGAAAAAGTATTTTTCGAATTTCCATCAAGGGCTAAGTCCAATCTTTTCTAAGGTCTTTGTAGGTGGTGTGGTGGTATAGCCTAAACCAATGCCTTTCTCAGAGGTTTCTCAAAGGATAAAAACCATCATCCTCAAGGCAAGGCATCAACTGTTCATGGTCTATTACAAAGTTAGAGATTCTCTGGTAGATACAAGGTGGTTCCCTCCTAAAGCTAAATGTATGCAGAATTCAATTTTAGCTAAACTTGTAACTTCAGGAACATCAGTCCACTTGTAACTTCTTACAGGAACACTAATCCATGTCCTAGTTATCATAACTAGGATAAGTTAGCCACTATTTTGACTACGTAGGTTTGGAGCAGAAAGTAACTATACTTAACTTAATGAAACCAAATCTTGAATCAAGAGTAGCATCAGAAAACCAGTAATTCAATGCAAGTATTAATATAAAAATCAGTTAATATAAAAATTTTAGCTAATTCTTCATTTGGCATTTCACTTAAAATTGAACAAAAAGTCTTAATAACCCATCATGTACAGGTTAAAATAATATTTTAAAGTTTAAATCAATCTCATTAAAACTTTAGAAGGGCCCTAATCTGAATTATTATAAGTAATATAATTCTGCTTTCTTGCAAGCCAACTGATGATACCGCAAAAGTCACAGGAAGTCAGGAACTTTGTAAATTAAGAACTGATTATTAAGTATGATTACCTCCATGGCAATTCATTGAACTTGGTCACACCTATTGATGACACAAGAACAACTCTCTTCACCGAGGAAGGCAATGCAGATACTAGATTCTTCACTCCCACCCAATCTTCAAATAAATACTTTTAGTCAAAATCAAAATATTGAGAAGTGCTAGAAAAGTTGAAGAACTCTATGCTGTAGACAACTTTGAATAAAAGGCATTACTGTTATTTTTCCACACTTGAATCCTCACTTAACTAATTTTCAATTTCAATTTATTATGACATAAAATGCATATACTGTAGACAACTTTGAATAAAAGGCATTACTGTTATTTTTCCACACTTGAATCCTCACTTAACTAATTTTCAATTTCAATTTATTATGACATAAAATGCATATACTGTAGACAACTTTGAATAAAAGGCATTACTGTTATTTTTCCACACTTGAATCCTCACTTAACTAATTTTCAATTTCAATTTATTATGACATAAAATGCTGCAATATATGCGTAACATGATTCTTAATTTCTTACCAACCCTTTCTGGTGTGTTATCATCATCCCACCGCTTTGAAGGAAAAGCTGTCGTTCCTGTGCAGCAAATCACATGTGTGACTCCCTATAAAGCAAGTAAACAAAAGCAAAGAAGAAAAAGAAATGCAAATTATTACCATACATTATCTTTGTTGAATGAACAAAGTCAACAAAATGAAAACAATTGAGATGAATCAAATGTTATCAAGTATAAGTAAAATACTCTAAAGTCTAAAGAGCTTACCTCAAATATGGATGGATCCAAATCATCCTGCTTCCTTGTGTCTCCTTTGAATACCTGTAATGTTCAAAAGCTATATATAACATGAAAACATTGAGAATGAATGAAATCAAATTGACAAACAACCATTGGTTCAAGTGATAAGGAACTTGTTACGCTTAATCAGAGGTGTCAAGTTTGAGCCCCGAGAATGGATACCCCCTATATGGGCCCAACAGTGCTCGAACTAGATTAATTGGATTTCTTATAAACCAGTTGGGAAAAAAAATGAAATCAAATTGAGTAGATAATATACCTGCAGTTTCTCATTATCTTGTTTGCCAAACAGTGCTGTGGCTCTCTCCGGATCCCTAAGTATCAAACGTGACTTAACATTCCGCTGAAGCAGTGATGCAACTACTAACTGCCCTGAATAGTAAATAAGGCAAATGCTTCACAAACTTCCCCAATCAAACTATTGGAATGAAATTTGTAAGCAGTTCCAAAGGGGATCCCCAAAGGCATACAAATACAAATGCACAAGGGTGGAAGAAAATACCAATAACAGAAATTACTAATAAACTCTTGTTTATTTGGAAGCAGAATTTGAATATGTGGTAAAATATTTTGTAAATTACTAGTTAAATTTCGGTAAACTTAAATAAAAAAAATAAAAAATTGTAAACATCAATTATCACCAAATGTCTGACACCTCATACCAATTATCAAATATTTATTGTGATTACTCTGTTGTTTATTAACTTAAAGGTTAAAAGTACAAGTACCTAAGTTGAGTCATCATACACTAATTGTAAATTGATTATATGTAATAAATTTTAAAAACAGAATCAATAAACAACAAACATTTCTGTCTTACAAACCTAAGTGAGGAAAAAAATTCTCTAGATTAAATTTGTAACTAACGTGAGCGAATTATCTTTAAATTTTATTAAAGTTAAAATTACAATATATTTTAAATTAAATCTAGGCTCAATGGTTGATATTATTATTGCACGTGACAATCCCAAATTCCATTCATATAATGGTAACCATTCATATAGCGCGAGCTTTATGAGAATGGATCCTCTTATATTTGATTCTAACATAACCACTCATGTAAAAAATCTTAATCATTCATTAAAACTACATTTTCCTCTTGTCCTTGTTTTACGAGCTTTATTATTGAAATTGTTTAAAATTATTGACCGTTAATGTGTCAACGAATGATTAATTGTGCTTTTTTTTTTAAATTAAATATAAGAGAAACATATTTTTAGCTATACACTTTAAATACAAACTAAGAACCATACCAAGTTACCAACTCCACTAGAATTAATAATACAAAATAAACAAGAGCGAGAGAGAGAGAGAGACAATGAAAAATGAACGTTTACCAACGCCTCCTGAGGCACCAACAACGAGGACAAATTTGGACGATGATGTTGAGCTTTGGCTATCGTTGTTCAACTCCGAACTTCGAGTTTCAATAATTTCTTCGCTCAGAGCGTTTTGGGGATCGGTTGAAACAGCTTTTGTGCAAACAAGCTTAGAATTAGAACACCGTCTCGAAGCTAAATTAGAAGAAGAAAACACGAGGATTCGGTTACGGAGTTTAGCGAAGGAAACTTGACGCTGAGAAAGACACTGAACTTGAGCGAAAGCCAAAGGGAGTGTAGCACTTGTGCAAGCCATGAAACCAAAACACAAACACGAACAGGATCATCTGCAGTGCAGCACAACACAACTCCAAACTTCAATTACTCACCACAAGTTTTTTTTTTTTTTCTATTTTCATTTTGTTTTTTCATTTTTGTTTTACTAATAAATGGTAACCCCAGAAGTCATTCCTGTTGTGCCACGTGTGCCATCATTTTATTTTTTGAAAAAAGTTCAAATATCTCTATATGATTTGTTTTTGGATAACTTATCTTTCTGTTTTTTTTATAATTTTTTTTCTGTATTTTTTTCATCGAAGTCCATTTTAACATTATTAAATTTTTTAATTAATATAATTATTTTATCCTTTTTATAAAGATACACTTTAGTTATCTTCTTCCCCTTTTAAAATTTGTGAAGTTCACGGAGAAGAAAAAGTAAACAAACCATTAAAAGTTAAATCTACATAGTTGAGTCATTATAGATATAGTTGAGTTTTGGCACAAAATTCAGCTTTAATAGCTTGAAATTTTATGCATAAAATATTTGTAACAAGCGTGAAACAAAAATTTATTATGAAACTTCACAAATTTTGTCTGAAACTGAAAAAAATTTGTATGATAAAATATTATTGCAAAGCTTAAGAAAAAAGATGACACAAGATAATTAAAGTGTATCTTTGTAAAAGCGTAGAATAGTAAAATTAATTAAAAACTCTAATATTGTTGGGGGACTTAGATAGAAAAGAGTACATGAAAATAAATGATAACCAAAAAAAATAAAAAGTAGGGTGAGGGATTCAAAGAGAATTGAACTTTTCCCTTATTTTTTCTTATGGGAAATATATTTTTACGTTGTATGTGATAATTTTATCTTTATCTCATTTAACACACAAAAAATGAATGAGACTCATTTATTTTCTTTCTTCATTGTGGTCTCATCCACTTTTTTCTTTTTCTTTTTTTATCTCCAAAGGTAATTGTTTAACGATTATTATATTTTTCTTAAGTGGCTTAAAGAGGAGAGTATTTTCAGAATTCAGATCATGTAATACTTATTACATATTTAAATTCACTTACAAAAAGACACGCTTACGAAAAAGTAATGAATAATCGGGTGTAATGTTTAATACAGAGCACTATAATTCAAACATCTAACGTGGAAAAGATAGGATAACAATTAACTAGGGTTATTATCAATTAATTTTATTATTAGATCGATTATATCGATTCAACGGTTATATTTATTTTCATCTTTCTATAATTATAATTTCTCATATTTAATACTTTACATTTATTTCTACCTTTCTATGGTTATGATATCTCATATTTAATGCTTTCACATTAAATATGGAGAATAATAACCATATAAAAATGAAAATAAATATAACCGTTGAATCAACATAATCGATCTACTAGTTAAATTGATTTGTAGTAATATTGGTAGTACCCTAATTGGTTTTTACAATATCATACCCCGTAACTTACGTTTTAATTTTTTTCTTTTAATCATTTAAATTTTTTCCAAGCAAACTTAATATAAATATTAAATATATAAATTTTAAACAAATTGATATGAAAAATGAACCTAAATCATTTAAAATTTTATTATACATATATATATATATAATAAATCATTACACGAAAATTCACAAAACATTTTTCACGAGGGCAATTATACTGAAGGAAATTATTTTCTTATGTGACATAGGATAAAATTTGTCTCCTATAGACACGTATAGAGAAGAAAGGAAAGAGAATATAGGAGAGAAAAAAAATATAAATGAGTCTCATCTCTTTATATGTGAGTGTAAGAGAAAAATTTTATATAAGAAAAACAATTCCCTTATACTGATTCACCCAAAACTTAGAAGACTTTACTGCAATTCATAGATTTGTCACAGCGTTCAGAATAAGTCATGTCCTTAGAAAGGTAATAGAAATATTCGCAGCGGTAAAACGCACGGGGGTTTTTAATACTTTGAGGAAATGGCTTATCTAAAGATTCAAGTTGTGTTTGATCATTTTTTTTATTCTTACATTGATGTTATATTATGGTACCATAGGTCAGACCACTCCAATTTCAATTATATTCAAAAGTTGTTACCAAACAATTTATTATGATCATTTTTGTTTGATATTTGCCAACTTGCAAAATATTTTTCATGTCATATATTTGTTAGGAATGTGATTTTCATACTCAGGGAGTGAATTGAGCATTACAAATTTTTTACAAATGCCCCTTTTCTTGTTTCTAAATTACAAATTCGTGCAAACTTTGATATATGAAATGTTCACCAATATATTCAAACAATTTACGCTAGCACATATAAGATGTCAAAAAACAAGTAAAGTGTTGAAAATAAATAGTTAAGGGTTAGGAACAATGCAAACTTGATATATCCTGATTCGGTCAACACTACTTGTGACCTACGTTCAGACTGAAACCGCTCGATCAACTTTTCACTAACTATCAAGCTTCAAGGTGTTGGGAAATAAACACCAATTCCCCCTTCCAGAACCTGTTTAGAATGGTTTCCAACAAGCAAAATATATGTTCTAATGACAACTATGCATGAACCAAAAACACCAAGCAACACAAGTCAATTTTAACGTGGAAAACCTCCTCAATGTGAGTAAAAACCACGGGACCGATTTCGGAGTCCACCCAAATTCTCCACTATCAACAAAGTGAGATTACAAAAGGTTCCAAAGCAATTACAATCAGCTATAGCACCATCAAAAAACCTTCACAACTAGTTGTATCAAAAATGCAAGAGACATACATATATAACCAAGCTTCTGTCCGAAATTAATCTAAAATAACAGAAGTGTCTACTCCAAAATCGCAACGGTCAGATTAAAGAACAACAAGAGAGGAACACACTGACCAATTTTGAGGACAATCGCACATTCGACCAAAGAGAAACCTCTCTCTGAACTTCACTGCCCCGAACAGAGCAGAAAAACGATGGCCTTTGTTTGGAGCTGAATAATTCCCTCTTGACAGCTCTAATCGCAAAACTGAACTGTAAAACTCTAGTACAGTATGTTATAAACCTTGTACCAAAATTTCAGCTCAGATCAACGGTTTATTTGGGAGAGATGAATCTCGCAACCTTGTTGCCTTCTGTAGAACTCTGCACACAGACCACTTCGGTTTGCAATTTTCTGCTGCTGATGCAGACCTCCGATCAAGATTCTGACCAGTAGAAATGAAGAGGCATGAGTTGGGAAGGTTCTGAAAAAATTTCAGCTCAATCGGGCCACAAACGAATGAGATATCACAGAATCTTCAGACCCTGCTCCTCCCACTCTTCACCTGCGAATTTTCTGATTTTGGTGGCTGGTCTCTCCCTTCTTTCTTCTCTACAAAAATGCTCTCTTCACACACTCAAATGGAAGCTAAGCATACTACACAAAGGAACCCTAGGTGAGCATTCCTTATTGGGCTGGACATTTGGCCTTTTAATTGGTAAAGGCCCAACAAATCTCCCCCTCCAGTCCAATGAGGGAGATTACAAACAGCAATCATCAAGTGAAATCCATGCCGGCAACAAGCCGACAAAATTCAAACTTCTCTCTAGGAAGTGCCTTTGTCATCATATCCGAACCATTGTCATCGGTGTGCACTTTATCAAGCTCCACTTCTTTAGCTTCTAGCACATCTCTTATCCAATGATACCTTACATCAATATGTTTGGATCTTTGATGGAAGGTAGAGTTCTTGGCTAGGTGTATGGCGCTTTGGTTGTCACAAAGTAAGATGTAACAGCCCCAAACCTTGTAGCAGGATATTGTCCGCTTTTCCCCGCGCACAAGCACCGTCGAGCTCACGGTTTTACGTTTCGGGTTACCCCCAAAAGGCCTCCTACAAGGAAAGGTATCCACACCCTTATATAAGGCATGCTTCGTTCTCCTCTCCAACCGATGTGGGACATTACATAAGACATATCTCTTATGAGTGAAACCAATCTCTCTTAAAAACTTCTTCATCCATAGCAACTCTTTACAAGCTTTGGTTGCTGCAATGAACTCTGCCTCTGTAGTGGAAAGTGCAATGCACTTCTATAACCTTGATTGCCAAGAAACCGCACCACCTGCAAATGTAATCATATACCCTGAAGTAGACTTGCGAGTATCAACATGACCTGCCATATCCGAATCTGTGTAACCAACAAGCTCAGGCTTGCCATTTCCAAATCTGAGACTCAAAATCTCCCCCTCCAGCCCAATGAGGGAGATTACAAACAGCAATCATCAAGTGGAATCTATGCCGACAACAAGCTGACAAAATTCAAACTTCTCTCTAGGAAGTGACTTTGTCATCATATTTGAACCATTGTCATCGGTGTGCACTTTATCAAGCTCCATTTCTTTAGCTTCTAGCACATCTCTTATCCAATGATACCTTACATCAATATGTTTGGATCTTTGATTGAAGGTGGAGTTCTTGGCTAGGTGTATGGCGCTTTGGTTGTCACAGAGTAAGACATATCTCTTCTGAGTGAAACCAATATCTCTTAAAAACTTCTTCATCCATAGCAACTCTTTACAAGCTTCAGTTGCTGCAATGAACTCTGCCTCTGTAGTGGAAAGTGCAATGCACTTCTGTAACCTTGATTGCCAAGAAACCACACCACCTGCAAATGTAATCATATATCCCGAAGTAGACTTGCGAGTATCAACATGACCTGCCATATCCAAATCTGTGTAACCAACATGCTCAGGCTTTCCATTTCCAAATCTAAGACTCAAATTGGAACTGCCACGAAGATATCTCATAATCCACTTGACTGCATTCCAATGCTCCTTTCCTGGATTAGAAAGAAACCTACTAACAACGCCAACTGCATGGGCTATATCAGGTCTGGTGCAAACCATAGCATACATCAAACTTCCTACTGCTGAGGCATATGGTACTCTAGCCATATCTTCCTTCTCCATATCATTAGAAGGGCTATGTTGAGCACTTAGCTTAAAGTGGGTAGCAAAAGGTGTAGAAACCACTTTAGCATTACTCATACTGAATCTATCAAGAACCTTCTTGATATATTGCTCCTGCGATAAGTACAACTTATCATTTCTCTCTCGATGAATTCGAATGCCAAGAATCT